CACACTTGTTTTTGTCTTTAGGATCAGGAAGCAATATTAGCATTATATCTTATATCTTATATTCTTTTTAAAGCCGCGCTCTCATCCAAGGAGATCATCTTACAAGCTTGTGGGCATTGTGACCAAAACGAGACAGTAATAAGGGCAGATTGCCTACCTTATTTTTGTTTTACTGTTAGAACTGTGACACCTGTGTCCATAAAGAGAATGTCCACCATAACAGAGCATAACATAACATAACAGCAGCCCTTTGTCACACCTTTGTAGAGGGGTGACCGGTATGGTCCTTAACCCAGGTGGGTCTTTAGACAAAAAGAAAGGAAAACAAAAGAAAAGAGGGCTGGAAGAACAAAAGAGAGAATTACTTAAAACCTAAAAGCCCAAAAGAAGGCTTGAACGAGAAACGACTCCATTCAAAAAGTGTCCACAAAGAACAAACAGGTGAAACATAAAGCTGACCTTCCTCTCAGAATCACAGAGGAAGTGTTTTTGTTTGCTGATTATCTTTTATTTCATTTTTCTCTCTCAGCCTTTGTTTGAGCTGCTTTGTGTCCCCTCTGTCCTCCCATTCCTGCCGTTTATTTCCCATCTGCTGAGGTGCTTTTCCTGTTTTTGCCTGTGCTTCCTGGTGGTGCAGTGGGTCAGTCAGTATGTTGGCGGTTTGAGTCTGGCTCTGAGCCACTGCAACAGTCACCCAATTCACACCCCATCACCTCACTAAATTCATTTAAGACCCTTTCTCACAGGTTTTCCTCCCCCCGCTGTCCCGTACCCGCACACACAGTAATGTAATGTTTTTATCTGATTTTTAATCATGAAAATGTTTTTATTTAATTTTGCTCATCAAGGGTTTTCAAGACAAGTGTTTACTGAAATGTTTGAATGCCAATCATGCCAGTTTGTCACCAGCTGTCTGCAGATGGTAACAGGAAGATGTACAGCTTCTGTAGAACAAAGGGTTCTCCACGGTTCCCACAGCTGGTGGAGGGAATTTCACTGACCACAGTATAGAGTCACTTAGCTGGCCCAGTAAGAGTCTTAGCTGCAGGGGAAAGTCTCACACCGCAACTACGGTGTATCACACAGGAGGCCGGCCAGGAAGCCTCGAAGGCCGAAAGTAATGTTTTCCTGCAGCTGAACGCCTCCAGTCCAGCAGCCTCATAGCGGCGATGCAGCGTTACCCAAGCGGCCGGCCCGAGAGGCCTCATAGCTGCAGCATAGCGCTGCTCATGCAGCCCAACACTACAGGTCCAGGCAGCTCCAGTGCTGCCTCATAGCTCACTCTCAGCCACTATCTCTGTGGATAAGATGGCAAACTCTTTAGGCAAACAAAAAACAAACACAAACAATACAAAACTAACGCAAAACCAATGTAAAGCAGCAGCCATAGTGCACCAGTGTACTTACAGCACACACACAATATAATATACAAGTTCAAATTGAAATGAAATATTTTGGGATCACACTAACAACTTAATTAACTTTTTCTCTTAAATTTTTGATGGTAACTTGAAGGGCATTTTTTTGAAGGATTCTCTTACATAAATCAGGAGCATTATTCAGACTGATCTATCCAACACACTCACTGAGTATATCTGAGAAAATGATTAAAAAATTAATAAAAAATAATTAACTGGAAAAACAAACTCCACTATCTCAGAAAGGGAGACGTAGTCGAATCCTTTATGGAGGGTCTGAATATGATTCACTTTACTGTTATGATTGGTAGTATTAAAATGAAGTGGTCAGTCATTTCTAAGAGATGGGCGTGGCGTCTGGTTACCCTTCCTAGTAAAGGTCTTGAGTCCAGTAAGATGGAGTGGTCAATCAAATAATGGTATCAAATGCACCAATAACATCAAGCAGAACAAGCAAATATACACTTCCATGGTCAGAGGATAATAAGAGGTCAGTGCTGTCTCTGGACTGTGATCAGGCCTAAATCCAGATGGGAATCTTTCATGTGTGTGATTCCTGTGTAAGCAGGAACTTGGCTGTTGTGCCACAGCTTTTCCCATAATCTATAATGTAAAGGGAAGATTAGAAAGGTCTATGATTTGATAGCTTGCAGGGATCAAGATTAGGTTTCTTAATAAGAGGTTTAATCACTGCTAATTTAAGAGTTTTTGGTATATTGAGCCAAAACTATGAGATGAGTTTATTATTGTTTGGTTATTTCTGACAAAATGTCTGAGAAACCCTGTAGGAAGTGGATCTAATATGGAAGTAGGAGGTTTAGAGGAGGAGGTCATTTTAACCAGCTCTCTTTGTTGGAGTGAGATAAACGACTCCAGCCTCTCTGCAGTGGTTACTGTACTCAAGATCAGGATTGGCTTTGTAGGGCGGCAGGTTTTGTAGCGGTTAACTGTGCGTTTTGGATTTTTTAACTGATGTTTTCAGTTTTATTTCTGAAATAATTCATGAAATCATTGCTGCTGATATTATCTGGAATTCAGAAATATGATTTAAAAATAGTGCCAAGAAATAGCACTGTTTGGCCAGTAGAGGGAGCAAGTGGTCTGCAGTAATATGGGTGTGTCAAAGGGGAATTCCACCCAGTTTTCAGTGGATTGTCTACATAATTCAGTGTTTGAGGTGTAAACAGAGAGATTCAGAGTGGTTTGGTGTGAAATGGTTCAGATGTCTTTACAGTGGTGGTGATAGGAACTAGGGGTCGCCATGACTACAACACAAATATAGACATTTTATTTACTATCCAGAACCACCAGTGAACCTACACGAGTCTTCTGAGTTTATATGGAATGTTGATGATGGAAAATAGTGGAAAATCTGAAATAATAAGTTTTCTTTGGGGACTATTTTGCCTCACAGCGCCCTGCATGTATCCCTCCACCATGAATGGAGTTTAAGTTCTCTAAACTACCATAAAACAGTGTCTCAGTCATCAGGCAGTGAATTCATAACCATTTACTGTAGGAACTTTCTGTGAGGGAGCTTTTAGAGGAGGACGTCTGGTTCCTATCACCACCACTGTGAACAGTTCTGACTCGGTAAGTTTATCTAGAACAGAGCGTTTCACACCAAACCACTCTGAATGACTCTGAACTGCGTCTTAACTGTTTAAGTTTGTTTATTGATTTTGTTGTTCTGGTTTATCTATCCGGTGTGTTCCAGAGGAGGATGGGTTCCTCTCAGTGCTTCTTCCTCCTGTTCTGAGGGAGTTGCTCTTGTGAGGTTACTTGTGGTAAAAAGCTCTATACAAACACATTTGAACTGAATTTGGATAAATTATGGATAAATAAATAAATAAACTAACACACACATGAACAGCAGCACTTTAAGAAGTGAGGGTGATTATCAGAAGGTCAGAATGAGCACGAGGTGAGGACTTTACTGCACGTGGACTGAAACTCAGTGATTCACAGTCAGAAATGATTTCTGCTATAACTTCTCTCATCCACCAGGTGTCACCGTGCTCTCGTTGTTCAAAGCTCCACAAATTCAGATCTTCCTCAGGAAGAAGCTTTAAAACCTGAATGAGCTTCATCTGTTCTTCACTACAAACACTGTTCAAGTGGCATGAGAACAAAAACAGCCTCAACACTGCAGACGAGTCGACAGCTAAACACTAATGAACCTGTATTTGAGTTCATAACAGCATAATGTCAAATCTTTTTTCAGGATTCCCAGAGTTTTGATTCTGAGACATTCAGGGGGTCCAAGAGGTTAAACAGGGGGTCCTTTTGTAAATGGGAAGTTAAAAGCACTGACTGAAACTGCAGCTGCCATTGTCCGTGTCCTTCCCTTCCCTCTCCCATCACATGCCACACGCTACCTCCTCTACTCTCCACCCAGCTACAGCTGAGGGGGACGTAACACACGCCCACATGGAATGACCTGTACATGTACTGGGCAGAACTGGAGGGTGGTGAGAACACGGGGATAAAACAGACGTGTGAGGGGTGTATAATATGACTGTATTTCAGCCATCACCAATTATGACACATCAGCATGTGATACAGAGCAGTGTTTGGCTGTGTTGGTCCTGGAGGGCCCTGACCAGCACTCTTTAGTGTTCTAACTGACCCCAACACACCTGATCAGCTAACCAGCTCATTAACAGCTTGTTACTGGGTTAACGTGGCTGTGTTAAAGCAGGAAAAGGACAGTGGGCCTCCAGCATCAGGGCTGAGAAACACTGATAGACCATATAATAAATAAATCTAATATAAATCATGTGATAAATATTGTGGTAAAACAAATCCAAGAGATTCATAATGAAGAAACTCAGGTCCTCATTGTGTAAAAACCAACACAGTTCACTGTACAAAAGTCTAAAACAGCCATGAAAAAGATCAGAGCTTCAAGTTTGTCATTTGCACCACATCTGTTATGAAATTAATCCTTCAATTGTATTTTTTTTTGACATGTTCAGTTACTCACTATATTTATGTAAACGTTTCTATGTTTTTATATGTTACCAAATGTTTTCTCTATATACACACACAATATACTTTTACCAAAAAAATCACAATGAAAACAAAATATTTCAACTGTTTATTCAACATTAAACACAACTGAATGTTCACATGACCTGTTGGGTATTTAAAAGTGCATTCAGTAAAACATGAAATAACCACATAGGAATAATCTTTAAAGCAATTGCACAATTCAAAAACTACATCAGGGCATGCAGTCACTCACTGTTTGGGGCTGGATTGGATCACTTATTTCTAGAAAAAAATAAAAAATATATAAAACCAATGCATGACCCAATTTAGAATGGTAATTTTTCTGAAAAATAATACTGTCTGCTGTGCTGTAAAACAATTTCAATACTTATTCATGAGCATAAACTTACAAAAACATAAATAATAAGAAAAACTATATAAAAATAAAAATGCATCATTTGAACTAACCAACAGAAGATGAGGTTTTAACCTAACAGAACTCGGAAGAATTGACATGACCTGAATTCTAGCAGCCCTTTTAGAATCATCAACATTAACAATTAACTTAACTGCTAATTTAAATCTGTATCAGCACCACCCAACACTACCCAATGTTCTTGCATGCAAGGATTATGCAGTATATTATACTGTACACTATAACTTAAACAGTCATGCTCTTGTCAGTAAATGTTGCAAAAAAATTGTTTGGGTCAATATTATCTTGGTCTTGCCTAAATCTACTACATTCAACAGCTTTGGTGCTTTTAAAATATTAAATTAAAACAGTCCTCTGAACCCTCTGGAACACTGCAACCATTTATGAACATCCAGAGGTGTTAAAAAGGAATTCCACAGATTTATCAAACTGTCTGTATACTTCAGTGGTTGAAGAGTAACTGAGTGGTTCGATGTGCAATGGCTCAGAACAGAGAAACTTAAATATTTCATTACAGTTGGGTTGCCATGCACATAACATAACTACAGCCATTTATTTACTATCCAAAACTACCAGTGACTCTACATGGGCCTCAGGAGGTTTTTGAGTAAATGAATAAAAGTGATGGTAAAACTGTGGAAAATCTAAAATAACTGTCAACACCCTAGACATAATGCCACCACCTAGAATAAAATACATTGATCACGTTTTAGAACAAACTCATGTACACCTACCATAATAGCAATGCCTCCCACATCAAGCAGCATTTTCATCCAAGTTTGTTAGGGAGCTTTTAGACCTGGATGTCTTGTTCCCGTCACCACCACTGTAAACATTTCTGACTTTCATTGCCTCAATAGAATTCCCTTTAACAGTTCTAGATAAATAAAATGTTACTTTACCGTTTGAACTGTAATAAATATCAAAAGAAATACAGGGGGTACTACACAAGAGTGAGGGCTTACCAATAGGAAAGAGCTGAGAGGCATGACTTGCCGAGCAAAAATGAAAAAGGGGAAAAATGAGCAATGCTTCACAAAGCAGTCAGGTGAGGTTTAACTCAAAAGCATGGTAATTATCCTTAAGTATGAAAACAGGAAATCATTTTACCCCCAAAAATATTTGTCAAGTGCATGTCACTTGTGCCAAGCACAGATTTCAAATGGGGGAAACGGAAGTGTGTGTCTGGACAGTGGAAGTTCCATGTAAAGACAAACTGCTGTATGTGAGGGGAGGGACCAGTGGAGCTGTCAGTCATTTGCAGATGGAAAAATGAATTGGAGTGTACCAGCAGCAGATGTAGTACTTGCACTGCAAAAATATTTAAGATAGTAACTTCAACTTTAAAGCTTGTACCTTTGGGGACAGTTTAATCACATCCATTTCCAGAAAAAGCTTCTGGAACACCTCAAAAGTGTATGGCAGTGTTGGAGGGTATGATTGAGAGCATAAATTAGCCCCATGAGCAGCGCGCAAGCTTTAGCAGTGTTGCAGCATCCCGGCAAGATCTCTGCACCGTCAAGAAGGACGGATACGTCCACTGGATCCTCTCCATCAGCACCATGGATGACCAAGATCTTGAGGATGTGTTCAGTGACATCACTGCGGTTGTCCACCTGCACACAGTTTACAAGAAAACAGAAAAATGTATTGAGAAACAAGCAGAACTGATCGCATCATTTGAAATAACTTTCACAGCACAATTACAACTTAATTAAAATTATATTAAAAATAAGTATGAAATCTATTTTACAGTGACATTTATAGGAACATGACAAAGGATGGCTACACTCCACAGATTGTAAGGCCCTAAATGAATGTTGCTTTAATAATGAATCTCAGCCACATATTCTGTCTCTGCATTCTTACAGAGCCAGGTAACACTGTTAATTCTTGTGACTGTACTTCATTTGAATCCTTTGTGTTTGTTCTTCCAGATTATATAAGTTTTTTTCTCCCTCAGTGTGGTCTATCACAGAGTGGGCTATCAGAGTGGAAGCTCTCATCCCTTAAAGTCTTCCTCTCTTATTTTAGGGTTAACTTGCAGTTTAATTTAGTTTAAATTAAGACACATGAAAGTATTTTTAACCTGTACTGTTGAAAAGAAAAAAAGCACAATTCACCAGGCAATCTTCAAAAAGTACTTCTTCTTTCTCGCGAAGGTACAGTATGAGGCTGCGGATAACAGGATAGCTTACGGCTGTGTGATTAAAACAAACGTTAACTTTACAGTATATTGTATCAAACAAGCAGAAGTCAAACTACCTAAATGAACACAGACTCATTTATTATCTCTAAAAGAGCAAACTGTGAGCTGACCTTACACCCGTGAGAATCCAGTCATGCAGCCACACCTCCGCGGCGCCTCCAAACAGCTCTGCTCAAAAATGACGCTTATCATGTCGCCTTCAACGCGCATGCGCGGATTTAAAGGCGAGTACATTGGTTAAAATTTACTTAGTATTTCTCAAGTCGAGAGGCTTTTATTGTCATTCCATCTATGTACAAGTACACAGTGGAGTGAAATTACGTTCCTCCAGGACCAACAGGGAGCAACAAGGAACAAAAGAGTACAAAATTACAAAGTGTGAATGTGCAGACAGTGTGCAAACAAAAATTATGCTAGAAAACAATACAATAAATACAATACATTACACAGGTTTAGGTCTAGGTTTATGTACAGTGACAAAAAACATTTAAATACAACTAGGATATTTAAATAACATTTATTCAACCAACACAGTTCATATATTAAAAGAATAAATGGTGTATATATTTATATTTTTACTTAAATTTGTTTTGTTTCTACTTAATTTTAATATTACAGTGTAGACTTTATGAGAGTTAATTTAATATATTTTACCACACCAAAAAGTTCATTTTTTCAGTGTACAAAAAAAAAATACGAAATCTGAACTACATTAAATATCTACGAAACACACACGGACAGGAGGGACCTATTTACATATATAATAAAACATATTAAAAAGAAACATTATTTATTTTTTAGTGTGTAGACTTTTAGTGTACGTTATGACCTGGTGTAGGTCAGACCATAACAATATGAAAGAGTGCATTTTAACAGTGATGTGGGTGGAGAATGAAACACCAGTCATAACAATTAAGTCTGAAGACTGTATTATTTGTAACTGATATATATATAATATAATGTGTGTGTGTGTGTGTGTGTGTGTGTATATATATATATATATATATATATATATATATATATATATATATATATATAACAAATTAATTTCAGAAGTGACCACACTAGTTCTAGGACAATTCTACCTACTCTGTATTCAGACAAAAGGAAATAAAAGACAGAGTACTAACCCAACTCCCTGACTCACCATACACACAAATAAACCCCATTCTGAAATCAAAAGGCCGCCACTCCCTACAGCCGGTTCACACTGACTATATACAATGTACACAATATATACAGTTATTATGGAACAGGTTCAGTCCAAGTCAGGCAAAGTCAGTAACCAGAGAAACAGGCACAGAATCAAGAACTACAAAGTGAACATAACAGGAAAAACAGCAACATCGGTGAGGAACTGTCCTTCCGATCAGGACGCTGGGAGCCTTTTAGGAGGAGGAGACAAAACCTCCGGGAGAGGGAAGGGCGAAAC